TTAACTAATGCTGATAATGACGGAAAGCAAATTCTCACAGAATATTACAAAATTCTTCAAGAGAAGAGAGTTAAAATCCCTTTCCGTCTGAAGCCGATTGTTATGACTAGACATGGCATAATACCTCATCGCGAATATTACTTTAGCGAGCCTATGATCCAACGTCCTCTACATATTAGAAATGATCAGCATAAACCTGTATCGGGTAACGCCTGGAAAGAGTTGATGAAGAATATCAGATGGATAGATACTTTTACTTCATTACTGAATGGGTTTGAAGAAGTGGAGCGTTACTTAGACGACGCAGGAGAACATGGGGAGGAAGAGAAGAAGCTGAACAAAGCTCGTCGCAAGAATTTGGAGGACAATCTTGCAATTATTAATGAAGCTATTCTCAAGAATGCTCATGATATCAGTCGATCAAGCTTTGAATACAATGAGCAGATGGAAAAGCTCCATGATGAATCTAAAGCTGCATTCTTGAAGTACGCAGAGGCTCAATCACGATACGAAGAAGCCAAGAAACTGGTGGAATCGACGAATAGTAAATCCGCACGATCAGCTCTGAAGGCAGCGCAGTCCGCGGTGAAAGCGACCAAGGCAGTCTATCAGCTGAAGTTTAAAAATTATGCTGGTGCTCAAAAATATGCTGACCCCGATAAATTCAAGGGTCGACAGAGCAAACTCACTGGTAGAGGCCTCAGAGGCGCTGGTATTAAACCCCTCGAAGGTGTAGTACGTCGGTCGCGAACTTACAACCTGAAAGAAATCCAAGGCCTAGCAACCCCTTCCGCTTACGTTTACCGTCAGTTAGGGAGTAAGTACATTCGAATCCCCGATCTCGACTCTAAAACACTTGTCATTGTACAACCAAATCGCCGAAAACGCGGGCCGAAAATGCAAATCAGTGCCAGTCTTCAGGACCTGATTCGTACCCTCGCGTTCAAGCAACAAATCGATCAAGCAGCGTATGATAAGCTGAGTATCGACGATAAAAATTGCTATCACTCATCTCCAGTATAACTTTCACGATCGTCTTGAGGATCCACTAGAATCTCTGAAAGCTGAGTATGACAAGCTAAAAGGTGAGCTCGAATTGGGAAATGACAATCCTTCTATCATTAAGCTGTAACGACGCACCAACGTCACAGCCAGCGATGGCCATGACGTTGGTACCAATGCGTCCTACTTTCTTCTATTTCTTTCCTACTTGTCTTTGCTGACTGCCAACTATCTTCTTAAGTTGCCAATGAACGGCCAGGTAGACACACGCCTGACCGGAAGGCAATCACCATGTTTGGACGAGTATTGCCAAACATGGAGCTTCAATGACAGTCATTCTTTTTCATTTGAATTCACTATGGAGATTATGACCCGGTTCAAATGAACCGCGGTTCACTACTACGCTACGCTACTTCAAGATTCGACTCAAGGACTACTTAGAATCTAGTATAGTGAAATGCATATACTTACATAGAATACCAATGGAATGCTAACACTTCCTCGTAGCCGACAAACAACTAACCATTTCAATCTCACTTTCCAATTTACCTTCTTCGAGGCACATCAACTGCCTCCTACGCCTTACCTTCGAGTCCCCTTCGTTGGACTCTCGCCGCCCTCCTCCGCTTCGCTCCTCGCCACGCGACTCGTTCCTCGTCGCTGTTCCTCTGCGCCGTGCTCTCACCAGTCGTCACACAAGCAGCTTAAATCACTAAGTGTGGATATGTATTCTAACCGTCTGATTTCAGATTCAGAATTCGAGGATATTATAGTTCGTCTGATATAGAGCAGAACTTAGACGAACTTGTTTCATGTTCTTCTTTAACCCACGCATCATTTCAAGTTCTGGGGGCAGCTATGGAGATAACGCTGACCTTAATGTTGCGGAACTAAAAGCAATTATGAGAAATCTCATTATTCGCGATCGCCCGCAACAAACACAAGCTGCGGTTTGGGCAACTGATCTTGAAAAGTCCATCAAGAAGGTAGATGCTTCGACCCAAACAGAGGGTGGTCGTGTCTGGGCTTATCCATCTAGCAAGAAAAAAAAGACGGTCAAGACCTTTGCAATCTAATGCTTTGATGAATACATTGCCTATAGAGCAGAGCTTAGACGAAGTCAAGGTCTGCGACCTTAACAAAGTTATATCAGGTTATTGAATATTTTGGCTTCTAATTTTTTATACGAGTTTCATGATCAGAAATCTTAGTGTTAGCAGAGGCTAATTGACTTATCAAATCAGTAGGTGACGTTGATAAAGCATTGATTTTTTTCTGCTGTTCCAGTGCAAGTATATGGAGGTAGCAACATATCTTACTATAATCGACGCTGAGCTCAATGCCAGCTAGATCGACGGATGAATCCTCAACTACTAATGGAAAAAAGTTGATGACTGCTCCTAGATTATTCTTCAACAAATCTTGAGCTTTGTATCCTATTTGAAGTGGGACAGAACTATCTTGAGATTTGTATCGATATAGCTTTGGCCTGATAGAAAGCATTCCATTCGTTATTAAAGTATTATCAAGCGTATCAAAGAAATTATTACTTCTTGCATCGGAGGTAGTGTGAACCCCTGCGCTGGCTAAAATAGCCCCCGTCGCTTGGAGAGCTACAGCCACACTAGATACGGGGGCCAATCGTTGAAACCAAGCCACCGCTTTTCAAAAAGTAAGATACACCGTTTCCAACTGAATCAATAGTTTGACTTACATTGACAGTTACCTGCAATCCTGCGTTAGGCGTTGCTGTGCCAATACCTACTCTTCCAGCATTTGTTCCTCCCAGAATCGTCAATCTTCGAGAATTATTGGTCATGAGAACGAAATCATTATTCGATAACGTTCCAAAATACGCTCCATTGGTGCTAGTAGAATTCGCTCCATTATGCAGCTGTAAACCAAAGTTAACAGGCGACGAAGAATTAGATGATTCGCAGAATATTGGCATATCGTAACTAGTGGTGCCATCATTGAATGCGTTAGAACATTTAATATACATATTCCCACTTTTCAATGTTACTGAAGCAGATCCATACGTTCCATTAGTATAAGGCGTCGTTGAGTTAAAAATTAGTCGATTCTGAGAATTCACAGCTGTTAGCAATAGGTTACATCCATATGTAAATGATCCAGTAGAATTGCTATTGGCAACCAAATTTAGCGTATTAGTACTACAGTAGTATGGAATTGAGTTCCTTCACTCCCACCCCAGGCCTGTGTTTCTAGAAGGTATCCGTTAAACCACCCAGATTGATAATTCGTTGTGAAACCAACCAATTTATTATTAGCTCGAATAATTTCTTTGTACTCGGCTGAACTACAGAGACATGGGCGGAGCAGGATTAAATATTCCAAGCTTGAAAATTAAATGGCACTACTTTAGTCAAGATTATTACATTAACATCACTGAAGGGGCAGCTGGTGCCTCTCAAGCTGTGGTGCTTAACCCGACTAAAGATTTCAATGGAAATCGTAATCTCACATGCACTGGTACTATTACTGGAATAACCGGATTGGTGACAGCGTCACTGACGTGCGATACGATTTCTAAATCCGGAAATCAAGAAATGAATGCAACCACGCTCAATATCAACCCAACAACTCTTCAACTACGCGGCACTACGGTCAGTGTTTCTGCGGCGCAATTAAATTACAACCAAGTCATAACCTTAGGTACGTTTCAAGGTTCTAGATACATGACACTAGACGCTAATGGAATGGGGATTATGCCTTTAGGGTAAGTCAGCTCAAACTGCATTCGATTCTACGAAGGAACAGCGAACAAGGAGTTGTTATCGATTTATCGTGATAGCGACGACGGCGGTTTGGTTATACGCAGTCGATACAAAAATTGAGTCCTTTATTAACACTATTCAGGAGTTGATCAAACAGGGGTGAGCGGTACTACAGTAGACACAGATTTGATAGTATACCAACGGATGTGATATTTGATTGAGCACCAGTCATGATCGTACCGTAATATCCTGATGATGAGTTAACAGCCCCAGCAACATCTAGTTTATAGGCTTGGGATTGAGTACCGATGCCGACATTACTCGCTGAATTAATACAAAAGGATGGGGCTAATCCGATAAAACCGATACGAAATAGATTATATGTTGTTGAAGCGTCAGCAGCGTGTTAAAGAAGTCAGCGTACCAACTGATGTAATAGTAGTCTGAGATGGTGTTGCAATAGTACCAATAATTGAAGTTGCTGTTAGGGTAGACAAACCTGTAAGAGATCGTGATGCACCAGTAAATATCAGGTTTCCCCCAATAGTAAGGCCAGATAAAGTTCCTACAGATGTAATGTTTGTGTTTCAGACAATGTGACTGCCGACAAAGTCCCCGAAAGTGTTAGCGATACAATTCCACTTGTGATAGATCCGGTGCTGGATAGTACCAGTGCTTTCGAGTTTTGAGCAGTACCACCTGCAATCCCGAGAACGTAGTCCGGAGCTGACGTTATCGAAGACCCATTTACAGTCAAACTGGAGCAGCTGAGAGCTCCTATACCTGTGATATCTTTGTTAGCTCCTGGTACAAGAGCTACTCCTTGCGTTGCTGTGCCAGCCGTGATACCAGTAAGATATGTTAGTCGATAGTCGTTTCTTCCAAGATAAAGTGTCTGAGCGTAATCATAGGTTAGAAAGCCTTTCGCATCTAAGGAAAGAAGAGTCGGTCAATATCTTTAGCGTGGTGTTGTCTATGTTATGCATCAGCTATATCAAGATTGACTTTTTATCTGCGAAAAAATAATTAATTAGCTAAGTTCGGTTTCGGTGTTAGGTTCCCTTTCGACACTTTCGTTAAGTTCGTCTTTTGGCTTTCGCTTCCTGGATCTCTGTTCTTATCGTCGTAGCCTTTCTGGTACGCTAAGCGAGTCTCGCGCGTCTTCAGGTAGTAGCGCTTCTGAGCGGCTCTGATGCGCTCCTTGTGCAGTTGATACTGTTCAGGTGTGTATGTCATTGGACTTTATATTATACTAGAACATTTTATTTGTCAGAAATAAAAATAATTTTATTAATGCAGAATGCCGCAGCAAGAATCAGCTGAAATAACTCAAAGTAGGAATAGATCGAGCAACCTGGCTAGCCACAGCACGCGCCATCTCCAAGTCGGGACCTAACATACTGGCGATGTCATAATATCGTTCGATGCTCTCACGGATCCCACTACTCCCACTAGCCTCGCTGATGGACGGCAGCAACTGGGATAGCTTCTGACGCTTCACAGGTTTTTCAAAGCACGGAAGGCTGACCTCGGCACCTGCACTCGGTGACTGGTCAAGCAGAGTCCTAATTACCGCAAATGCTTCACCTGGCGCGATTAAGGTTGTAGTCTCTATGATGACACGGTCGTCGCTCTTCCTGGAGACCCAAAAGAATTGCCAATGGTTTGTCAAGTTCGTGAGCAGTGCCATCACTGATTCCGTAGCGATGATATCCAATGCAATCAATTCCGACAAAGCCTGGAACTCGGACGCTGTTGTCACCACCTTTTTCACTTCGATCAACATCCTCACTCCAGGCAAATGAGGCAAGTAATGTGGAAACTTCTGGGCTATATCACTCAGCACAATCATATCCGTGCGACCAGCAAGAACAATATCGCGACCAGGGACTTCAACGGTGAGGATGTTTACGCCTTTTTCCACACCAACCACGCAAAGCTTGTTATTCGTCAAGACATCGCCAATGTTGGCTACCACGTACTCACGATAAGGTTCCTTTTGCTGCTCCTCGGTACGGTCACTTTTCCACTTGAATTCCTTTGCTGGAGTTGGAACTCCACCGGCGAATTTAACTGTGTCCACAGGCGAAATCCGAATTTTCAAATCGTTCAAAAGGATGTTTCCCTTGGCTGAGTTCATTTCTGAGTGGACATATCGCGTACGCTTGGACAGCACAGTGTGCTCATACACTTTGTCGACCTTATCGAATAGACGATCCATCCTGGAAGTGTCACTCGCTGAACCACCAGCCCCATCTGGAACCACCACCAGCACGTGAATTTGCTCACTGGATGGAAGCTCCATGTTGTTCTTCGTGTAAAACCACGTTGTTAAGGTCTTTGAGCCTAGAATCGGTTCTCCGGCCGTCAGCGCATGGATGTAGTCATCAGATTCTCCTTCCACCAGCTTCAGAGCAGCCCGATGTTCGTCTGGGAGCCATTTAAAACTTTCCTCCTTCATCTCCTCCGCAGAAGGGCGGTAAACAGGGACGACCTCTTTGCCGCTCTCATCTTCGACGGGCTGCTTCGCCAGGAAGAGATGCAGCTTGTCTGCATCAACATCTTTGAAGTCATTCGGCTTCTTCGCCTTAATCACCTCCTTCAAGTCTCCCACCAGCTGGCTCGCGTCGATGTCCACAGGGAAAGCGCTTCCAGCCACACCAACGATCGCACAAACAAGCTTGACCATCTTTTCTCGAGACGGCAAGTTCTGGAATGAGGGAGAATTTCTGGCGTACTTAAGCGGAAAAGAAAGCGCGTGACAATGATTTTCAACCAATGATGAGACGCCACGTCGCGCTGGTCCGAACTAATTCTCAAGGTTGCGTCGTCAAAATAGCAGCTGCCTCGAAAGAACGTTCCAGGACTGGTCTCGCAGGTAAATTACGGAAAGTAAAAAAACTGCCAGCGTAATGTTCCATGTCGTACTACTGGGTGCTTTTGCGTATGCCTGATGCCGGGTTTCCAGATTCTGAAAAATTCAGGCGATTCTGCGGGGCCCAAAAAACTGAATTCGGAATTACTACAGCGATGGCGCTCTCTCGGAGTGAGTAATCGTTTGGCCTGGTTAAAAGCTTCGTACACTCTGGTTGCTTATACAAGTGTTTGGCCTTCTGTAGCCGCACAACTTTGTCAGTACAGCCATGTGTGTAATTGACGCACATGCTGCCGAGCTGTTCTGTGATACCGTACTGTACGTATTACGAAGTAGTACCGATATTAGTGATTGGATACTTTAAGAAGCATGTTTCCTGTTTATAATTTAAAAAAGAGTATGCAACCGCTATAACTAGTTTGCACTGCTCGCCACAATCGGGGTAGGAAGTTGAAGGTTGCTGCGCAACAGCAGTAGCGACTCAATAGCTAGGCCTTTTCGGTCGTCGTGGGCATCATGCTCTTGCTTGTGATCGGCCAAATAGTGCCACTCCATTCCTGCATGGATAAAAACATCTTAGAATATCGCATCCGCGTTATTGATTCACTAGATGATCTTCATACCGGGATGATCGGGCCCAGATCAACGTCGTCTGTATCCCAGCTGACGATTTTGTGCACTGCGGGAATCATGTGGTCGAACACAAACACAAGCGCCAGGGGCGTCGCCGAGCTCCATGGGTGTATGTGGCTTGTACATCATTCTCTTATGCTTTTCTCTCAAGTTTTGTTGGTCTTGGTCTGGATGACGCAAATTGGTAACTGAGTCTCAAAGGCACCCATTTCATTGACCACCATTCGTGATGAGCATGTGTAATTATTATAGCAGCATAGAAATGATTAGCGTCAACTTCAGCCTGCGAAAAACCCACTTGCCAATAGCCTCTTTTGTAGATCTCAAGAAGATCGTTCATTTAGCAACACATTGCGTCATCATCGCTTTAAGTTGTGACTGTTGCTGCGATGCTTAAAAAAAAACCTTCTTCAACAAAATATGGGAATTCGTTTTTTGCGTTGGTAGTGCCGTCTCGGTGGGCCATCGTGTCGTCGGACGCGAAGCGAACAGGTGACGACGGCGACCATTTTGAATCGCGTTGAAACAAGTGCCACGTCGGAGTCGTGCCAACTGGTACACCTCGGGAAGTATGTCGTATGACTCTCGCTTTTTCATAAAGGCTCTTTAGGTCGAGCGATCCAGGCTAAAAAGTCAATCGCCGTCAACTGACCGGTCCTGGAGCTATCTCCGATACAGTAGGCGTTGCCGACGACGAAACGCCTGACACAGTGACGTGTGCAGCATGTTGCCCTTCCGTGGTCCCGCGAATGGTGGCAATCCGCGATCAAGTTTATTGCATTCTGTTTCGTCAACGCTTTTCACCTTTTATCTCATGTTTATGTTGTAGAATATAGCGCTAATAATTACAAAAGCGACAACTTCAATTATGAAAATTCGGACGCATCTCGTCGATAACAAGGAGAAACATTGTGTCGCATTAGATCTACTCTATGGCGATACACCACACGCTACATATACAGTGTACACACCACCAGGTATTATTACCCCGTACACGACACTTCTGTCGTGACGACGAGAAAACGATGCGTCTGGAGAGACGCGTTTGCTTGAAGTTCAAAAGTGACCTCACAGTTTTCCACGTAAGCTGAAGTTGATGTCCGTAGCTGAGACACAGTCGAGCGTCCCGCAATGCAGTCTCTATGCTACGGGACGCAAAAGAACGCCGCGATCCAGAAGGTCGACGTGTACTAATTCACAAAGCTGCCGTCTTCAGACTCAGTTACCAATTCCCGCCAAGACCAACAAGACTCCGAAGAGAAGAACACTACTTCAAGAGAATGCTGTACAGACCACACACACCTATGGAGCTCGGGGATGCCGTGATAGGCCACATCACGAGTGCATTCGTGCTTGTGTTCGGCTTTATGGTCCCCGCTGTACACAGCGTTGTTAGCTGGGAGATCCCATCGTTCCGGTACGATAAACTGCACCACTGACAAATCGGCTGGACTAACGTCAAAATTATGTTTAATTAAAGAAATGGGCTGGAGACATAAGCCCAGTCAGCAAAAACAAGACGCTCGATTCGCTGCCCCGCCACTAATTTGGCTTAGCTCGTGTTGGGTACTGGTACTGTTTCACTGCGCGACGACGGTACCATCAGCGCAAGGAGTCTGAATCAACTCGACCTTAACAGCGAGTGCCCGCTTACATACTGCTTTAATTTATACTTTTTAAACATGCGCTGCTTTGGCCCTGTAGCACCTAAAAAATGTTGTTGTGCTTTTTTGAAGAGCTAATTTAAGTACTCTACAAAAAAGCGCTTTCGAAAACGGCATCTTAAAAAAAAAGCAATAGGAGCTTTGATGTCGCTTTTAAGTCTGACGTTGAAAAGTGCTCGCTTAACTGAGGGTCGCTCTTAACCACGCCATGGCACAAAAGCTGTGATCCGATTGGATGAGCGCTTGCTAGGGCTAGAGTTTAAAGTAAATTAAATGACAGGAAGTGCCACGGACATTCGCAAGTGTCATGGCAAGGGGCAATTGCCATGTGCCATGCTACTTTTATTTGCATTAATGTATATTTTAAAAATAGTTTTCATGATGGCACAGTGGCAGGTCTATTCGTAACCACGCCATGCCATGGCTCAATCTCTAGTGCCATGGTATGGCACACGTGGCAGTGGCTAAGAGCCACCCTGAGAAAAAAGCTTTCTGTTTTTCTAAGAGCACTTTGATTTCGAAACACTTTTTTTAATGACATTTTATCAAATCATTGCGATAAAAAATAAAAAGGAATTCTAAAGGTGTTAAACAAAGCGTTTCTTTTTGAAAAAACAACGACTCTTAATTATTTTGGCTTTCTAATATGATCAAATATTAATTGAGGCCTTTTTTCGAAAGCGTTGAAAAATCGAGCTCTTACCAAACGCTTTTCGTTTAATGGTCAGCCAGCCATCCGTCAAACCGACGTCTACCACAAACATCAAGATGACCGACTCCGCCGGTGCGAAAATGAACGCTGCGACCATCGCCGAGCCCTTCAGCTTGGCCGTGCGCCAGTACATTGAGCAGGACATGGGTGGCGTGGGTCCCAAACTCGTGGGTTTGCTGGCTCACGGCCCAAGAAGTACGCCGAGGGGACGGGCAAGGCCTGTGCACGCGACGGCATCCGCTACGAGCTGCGCGAAGTGCCCAAGGACGAGCTGCTGGAGGCTTTGGAGAAGGCCAACAAAGACTCGGATGTGCACGGTATTCTCGTGTACTACCCGTGCTTCGGCGCCTTCCCGAGCTTCTTCGGTGGCACCATGGACGATTTTTTGCGCGACAGCGTCAGCATTAAGAAGGACGTGAAAAGACTGTGCCAATTCTACCGTGGCAACTTGTACCGTAACATCCGCTACGTAGACGACGAGAAGACGCAAAAGTGCGTGCTGCCTTGCACACCTTTGGCAATTGTCAAGATCCTCGAACACCTTGGCGTTTATGACAAGACCAAGCCTACTGGCGACCACTTGTCAGGTGTTAACATCACGGTTGTTAACCGTAGTGACATTGTAACAGCGAACGTCTCCTACTCGCTCACTTGCAGAGGTCGTGTACGATGTCTGGACAGTGAGTACGACGGAAGAAGTAAGCGTTAACACACTACTCGCCCCACACTTGGCAGATTGGGAATTGCTGGAGCTCCACCCTTGGTGGACTCCGTTAGAAATAAAAATATCAACCAAGTATCTAACGGGCGAGTGACTACCAATACTAAAAAGACTTCTGGTTTCTGAGACTGCGTCGTCCAGGTCTCATACTCCCCTGAAACTGGAAGTCTTCCTTAGCTTGTTTGCGCGTCATCTGGGTCGGATTGTTGTTCTGGTTCTTCATCTGTATCCCCATCAACTTGAGTACACAGGCATTCGACACCAAGCTACTTTCGATGTTGGCGAAACTTGCCCTTACCCAATGGCTTGGTTAAGGCATCAGCAGGCATGACCTTAGACGGCATGTGTTTTACCACAATGTAACCAGCATCGACATAGTCAATAACCTTGTATATCACTAGATCTAGACACTTGATCTTGTGATGTCCGCTGGAATGTGTCATGACCGGAACAGCTGCAGCATTGTCCGTCCAGAGAAGAGCTGGAAGCTCGACAGGAACTTGTAGTTCGGCTAACAAGTTTTGTAGCCATCGAATTCGATCTGCACAGCAGCTGGCTGCTGTGAGCTCAGCACTGCATGTATCTTTAACTGCACTGGGCTGTAGCTTACTTTGGTATGCTACAACACATCCACCAAGTGTTACAACTTGGCCAGTAACAGATCGACGAGTGTCCATATCATTGCCGAGGTCAGCATCAGCATATCCAGCGATAGAAAGATTGCCCTTTGCAGAAACGTTTGGTAGCACCAATCCATAGGAACTAGTCCCCTTCAAATACGTAAGAGCGCGTTGAGCCAGTCCAAAATGTTCCTCTGTATAACAGTCAAGAAACTTGCTCAAGACACGAACCGCGTTCGCGATATCGGGTCGCGTACAACGCACCAAATACTGTAGGGAACCAACAATTTGACGAAATGGTAGATCACTTCTGTTTACGTCAGGTCCGTAGGGTTTGCTGGGTCTCATAGGTTTTACTTTTGGGTCCATTGAAGTACGGACCACACGAGCAGTGTGATCGCCATATTTTTCCACAATGTGTCGAATGTACGATTCTTGTGACAACGTGACTCGTGTCGGCTCCACTTTTACATTCATGGCCAGCAAGAGGTTGATCTCCCCTAAGTCCTTTAGCTTAAATTCACTCTTCAACTGTGAAATTAGCCACGTAATACCCTCATTTTTAGCCGCAATAACGACATCATCAACGTAGACTGTAAGGAAGATAGGAGAGTCGTCGACCCACTTGACGTAAACGCCATCTGCAATTATGCTGGATTTGAAACCAAGCTTCACTAGATATCTCTCAAAGTTGCGTTCCAGATCGGAGGAGCTTGCTTTAAGCCATATAAGCTCTTCTTCAACAAGCACACACGTCCAGTGCCATCGTCGAACAACTCTGGTTGCTCCATATACACGTCGACATCCATCTCACCGTTTAGAAATGCCGTAGTGAAGTCAATTTGGCGAAGTTTCGGGTCATAGTAGAATGCGAGCACAATGACAACACGGATTGCCTCCATGCTCACAACTGGAGAGTATACTTCCCAATAGTCTGAACCAACCACTTGCTCGAAACCCCGGAGAGTAAGTCGAGCTTTGTAGCGTACAATTTCTCCGTTTTGATTCCTTTTGATGACAAACACCCAGCGACTGGTCATGATCTTAGTGTCCGACGGACGGTTCACTAAAATCCACGTATGATTCGCTTGTATGTCAGAGATTTCCGTTTGCAAAGCTTGCCACCACTTATCACCATCAGGACCTGGAAGCGCTGCACGAACTGACTTGGGCAGCTTGTCCGTAGTTGAGATGAAGTAATTGGCAAGCGAATAGCCATGTAGCCTTACGTTTGGACGACGTGTACGTGTTGATCTGCGAAGCGTAACAATTGGGTCTTTGGTGTGTGTTTTCTGACGTCGCTTAACTTCAACCAAACCCGGTTGTCGCTTCTTTTCAACGTGTTTTGTACATCTCGTATCATTCTCATGTCCATCGACACGAATTATAGAAGTGGAGTCACAATTTGGAGTATCATAAGTCTGGGCCAGCTCCCCTGTTCGTCTGCGTTTTGTTGGACCTGAGTTGATATTATCAAACTCAAGCTCCCCCGCTCTTCTAACTTTCGTCTCTTCCACTACATCGCCTCCAACCTTAGCATCCATAGGACCGACTTCATCGGAGCTATGCAATGCCAGTGCAGTTTCATCGCTGCTACAGGAGCTCGAGTAGTCATGAAGAGGAAGTCTTACATACGGGATTGAAACAGGTAGCACCACACCAGGCTTCTTCGCGTAGAACTTGTCAAGCAACTGATCCACATAGTCAGCCGCCAGTGTCCTCTGTTCGCGAAACTTTACGTCACGAGACTCCACAATGTGTCCGGTAACAAGATCGAGGACACGATATCCAGTCGTGGATTTAGGATATCCTAGAAACAATGCCTCTTTCGCTGTCGTATCTTGTTTACCTTTCCGTCTTTGCTTAGGGACGAAGTACGTTGCAGCAGAGCCCCACACACGTAGACCAGATACATCAGGTACACGACCTTCAAATAACTCGTAAGGTGTACTGCCTTTTATGGCTTTGGATGGTGAGAAGTTGCGTATCGTTACCACAAACTTGAATGCCTCTCCCCATAGTTTTGGTGGAAGTCCACTGGTTACGAGGAGAGCGCGAACAGATCGCAGTACTACACCATTCATCTTTTCGACGAGACTGTTTTCTTCGGGTGTATACGTATTTGTATACAGCGGACGAACTCCATTGTCTCGGAGGACTTGTTGTAGCTTTTGATTTACAAACTCAGTTCCTTGATCAGACCCCAGGAATCTGACAGGTCGCTCACATTGCTTCAGCTGTAAGATCAACGTCTTCAAGTTGTCTGTACATTGAGACTTTTGACGGAGTAAGAAGCCCCATAGGTATCGTGAGTATTCATCCTCCACGAGCTGAAACATCACGTTTCCAGCAACCGAAACCTCACCATAGTGACAGACATCGGTCATCAGTTTTTCACAACACCTTATTGATCGACATGGAGACACATTCTTGTATGACATTCTTCGCGATTTTGCTAATGTACAGCTTAGGCAATCCATCGCATCTCTAGTGCGCTCACTAGGAGACATCGTCATGCCTGAAACCATCTGATCACGATGGAGTTGCTGCAATGCTGCAAAATTCACATGACCAAAGCGAAGATGCCACCGAAATATCGATTCACCTCCAGCCACAAATGATGCAACTACTTGAGGTGAATTACACAAACCACGAGTGCGATAGTAACCTCGACTCTTGACAAACACTATTGCTGTCGGACCCTTCCATAATAGCCGCCTTGGAGGTCCGTCCTGAGGATACTGTGACTCACATTGCCAGCCTTGCTCTTCAAGTGCATTAACACTTAGCAGATTAACGTGACATCCAACAACATTACGAACTCCAGTAAGAACGCAATCAAGCGCTTCTCCAGTTTCGCCACGTCTATCTTGTGTGGATAGGAAAGATACAGGCAATTGAGACACCAAATGTTCCGTTGTTACTTCTCCTGTCCACGATTCATGTGGCGTGTTCGTCTCCACGTAGTGCGGGAGCTGTGTCATAAGTGACCGGTCAGCGCAGGTATGCGTAATAGCTGCTGTGTCTAATATCCACTCCAATGAATTAGAGGTATCAAACGTCGACAATAATGTAGACCCAGTACTTGACACAGCACAAGTATTTTCAACACGACCGATCATTCCCAATGGTAACGGCTGAGGAGGTCCACCTTTGTTTCCCCCATATCCTCTAGAGCTATCCCCAGAATTGTTGCCACACTTTGCCTTTTCAGCATCTACGTTGCCGTGCTTCAGATCAAATTTGAGCTTACGACACTCAAATTTGTGATGGCCTTCTCTATCACAATAGAAGCACTTGCCCTTCTTTCGTTTACCAGGACCAGACTTTTGATTGGCTTTGCTTCCTGCTTCACTGGATTTAGCTCCACGAGATTGTGCTCCACTGGGTTTAACCCAGCTAATATGTTTACTAGATTTGTCACAAGTTTTCTGTTTCTTAGCCACGTGCATGATCTGAGTTTCCCTCTTTCTCATCGCGGACGATCTCATCCATCTCGGTCTCGGACTTCAGTGTGTTCAAGACTTGCTGCAGAGTGGGTCGGGACCCGGGAGCTATGATGCGAGAAAACTGACGCACGACATCTCTGTGTGTCTGCACTACTCCCATGAGAATCACGTCCACAGTGAGATCATCATCGATAACTCGACCCAGATTAGCCAACGCACGACGTGTATCGTGAATTTCCTGAAGCCAAGAATCCATCGTCTGCTCACGAGTGTAAGCTGCGTGGAAGAATTGCTTCAATACCCACACGTAATTAGAAAACTCACGCTTAGTATGGTGTGCTTCCAGATCTTCCGACATTTCCTTGCCAGTTGGAAGATCACACATACGCTCAGCGTCTTCAACTTTAGCACCTCGAAACAACGTATCTTTCACAAAGAAGTCCAACATATCGTAGCGCTGTTGAAGTTCCCCATTTACAATCGGACGCTGTACGGATCCATCGATCAGACCCCAAGCATTAAGTCGATGTAAATAGGCCATAACTTGAGCGCGATAGAGGTTAAAGCTTCCTGCCATTTTTGGTGGGTTTTTGTTCACATCCAACGCTAGGTTAGGCGGTGGCAATGGTATCCTTCGTTGTTGTTCTTCATTAGCATGCAACCTCGCTGGAGCGTTCACCACCGGAGTTCCAGTCAAAATGAGTGTTGAAGTTGGTGAGCTCAACGCAGAAACAGACTGCGGCTGTGGAGACTGAAGGACAGGCATCCCGCCAGCACCACCAGCCAACGGACCTACCGGTCCAGCCGCTACTGACGCTGCAGGCGCTGATACAGCCATCATCCGTCGCGACGCGGTCGGAGACGGAGTACCAAGTAAGTCTGACATCAAAGGCAGCGTCCACGACACCGTCAGCGTTCACGTAAGTTCTGGAAGTTTACTCTAATTTTGGGCTCATAACCCTAACAGCGAACGTCCCCTACTCGTTCACTTGCAGAGGTCGTGTACGATGTCTGGACAGTGAGTACGACGGAAGAAGTAAGCGTTAACACACTACTCGCCCCACACTTGGCAGAAGGGGAATTGCTGGAGCTCCACCCTTGATGGACTCCGTTAGAAATAAAAATATCAACCAAGTATCCAACGGGCGAGTGACTATCAATACTAAAAAGACTTCTGGTTTCTGAGACTGCGTCGTCCAGGTCTCATACATTGTCGGCCGCCCATTGGCTGCTATGCTTGCGAATGACGGCGCTGACGTGTACAGCGCCGACATTTACTCGCTGTACCTATTCCGTCGCGGTAAGCTCATCCCGAGCGAAGAGACGCAGGAGACGGCGTGTAAGAAGTCTCGTGTCATCATTACTGGCGTCCCCGTTAAGAGCTACAAGCTGCCGCTTGAGTGGGTCAGCGAAAACACGGTCATCATCAACGTCGCGTCCTTCAAGAACGTGGACGAGGCCGAGCTGCTTAAGATAAAGGGCGTGCAGTACGTGCCACTGGTGGGTAAGGTCACGGTGGCCATGCTCGAGCGCAACCTGCTGCGTCTGTACGAGAACTTCCACTGGAAGCCTAAGAAGGTCTGGCAGTAAGAGTGTGGATGAGGATAGAGAGAACACCTCGCTTACCGCTAAAGTACATATATCTTCCCCGTTACAGGGAAATTCACAGCGTGTGCAGTACCGTAATACGCTAACTCCATCCAATTACACTTAATAGCGCCTATGCTGACTCCATTATCTCTACATGCACTAAACTGGACGCTGTGACTCTATTCTGGTCGCTCACGGCTTTCGCTCCGAGTGTGTGCGGCCCCACGCCGAGTCCACGCAGCAGCATATTGCCATCGTCCACGTGGGTTTTCTTCAAGTAAATGTCGTCATCAATCAGCAACTCGAGAGTTTGTACATTCATGGCGGTGTACTCGAGGACAATAGACTGATGTCGTTCGAAGATAGCACCATCCAAGGGAGACGTTAGTGATAGGTGTACCTCGTCCTCAATAGAGGGAGTGGGTGGCTTTCGGACGTAGACATCTTTCTTGTATGTCGTGAGCTCTTCGATTAGCCCAGGAATGGGGATAGTAACTTCGAGATGAAGCTTAAATATCCCGTCGTGTGTGAATTTTCGGAGAGGAATCGACAGTGCGATTGAGCACTTCAGTATCGTCGTCTTCGCTTTCAAGTGCAAGAAATCCTATTTCCGACGTGAAAACCTCGTCGTCCAAAAATAATTCGTATCGAAAAACCTCGGCGCCATACAAATGCAGAGCTTCAGTGGGAAAGTTGGCAAGTTGCCACTCGAATGAAACACCTTGTGGCGTGATTATTGAATTTCCCACGGGGCTCACAATGTGCACGGAAACATTCGAGATATCGTACGCCGAGAACAGCTCCTCGTAGTTCGATAAGGGGAACACTACAGGGTGAAAGAAGCTGTACACACACGCAAGGAGGTACGCAACTAACACCGTGGCAGCTCCTCCCACAAACAGAAGCTCTTGCTGGGTGGGATCACCATTATTTCGCTTCATCTTGGTCTCCGTCAAAAGTCCCTTGCTCTTTGCCACCGCTTGATTTCCCGTCGACTCTGGACGTCCCTTAGCCACAGCCTTCGAGCTCTTATTTTCCCTCTCCGGCGGTCTTTTATCTTCTTGTTGCACGCCATCGTCTGAATCTACATTCGGATCAGCACAGTCGTCCTCGTGCCCCGCCTCGGCGATGTGAGTGCTCTTGCCTTTCATGCTGTTTTTCGATTCCGGATCTTTCATGCAAATCTCCTGCTCGATTGCCTCCGGATGCGGAGTGTCTGCCGAATTGCCATCATCCTCCGACTCGCACGAGGTCACCTCCGATGTGATAGTGTCTAAGAGCTCTTGGGCCTGTAAGTACATGAACTCACTACCATTATCACTTGTTAGGATATCCACTTTGTGGAGACGAACAAACGCTTTAAGCGCTACTAACACAATTGCTGCCGTTTTGTTTCGTAAGAGCTTTGCGTACCCCAGCCTTGAGTTGATGTTGATAGCAGTCAAAATTGGCCGTTTCTCCCAAAACGCAAGATCAATTTGCCACGAGTTGGGGTTATGCGAAGCTATTTTGAAACCATTGAATCTCTTCTTTTGCTCCTGAAATCGTTGAATATCGGGCTGACTCCCATACCAATCCTTTACTATTTTGAAAGTTATCTTAGGATTCAACTCCTTTGCTTTCTGATACAGAGCTTGAGCTCCTATAAAACCGGTTTTTGGGTCATAGTAGAGTTTCTTTAATAGCGCGTCCATGATCTATATTTACATTAAAAAAAATCCCAGTGGCTAGCTGCTAAAATTACAAGTGGTTCAGTCGTGATACCATCATCAAGTACTTGACGTTTGTCATAGTAGTAGTTAAGCGCTGTTTTGGTTTGAGTATAGGTGATGATAGACTTGGCTTCTTTCGATAGTCTGAACCCCTTGTTTGTACCTTGTAGCATGATGCGATCCCGTACGACAGTCTCAAACCCATCAGGATTAAGAACACCATTGTTTCGACCACTTCCCTGTTGAATACCCTTCGCTGAAACCTTTACTTTGTATGTCTCATCGGGTAGGTAGCAAATATAGTTCTTACTCGATAGTGAGACCATAGCATCACCTGACCATTCATCTTTGAACAAACCAGGCGTACGGCGATCAAACTTAGCTACCTCAGTGTTGTAGTCACGTGGAAACCAATCGTATATACGCTCCTTGAAGTATGTTCGTAGCTCAGGCTTAATACAGTCTTGAAATGGATTATCACAGCTGAAAGCGATATAAGCCGAATCAGTGTCCATCTCCTGATACTGGAAGTCAGAGCGATCGAAGTAGAAATTTATGCAGTCATAGTAAAACTGAAGCATGCGTAGCTTAGCAAGCTGATAGATAGCAATCGACAAATGGATTGGGTTCTTATTATTGAGTCGGCGCTTCTTTCATCGTGATCTCACACGCATCATTAAGCTCCTCGAGACCATGGGACGTAAAGTGTTCGATCTTGTTCTTAATAGCTTTGTCACTCGACTCATACTTAACCTCTTTGTGCTTGCTCATAGCCATGCCAGATCGACCAAAAGCACTGTTGCCTACCAGTTTCACCATCTCGGCAATCATAGCCTTCGACTTATCAACATCACCCTCTCGCCGGGCGTTTGATACAGCCTCCATAAATGGAGCAAAAGCTTTATGGGAGCTCGCTTTTATGAAGCTGTAAATCTTGGTGATCTCCAAACCATGAGAGAGATACTACTTCAGCAAAGATGCGTATCTGAGAATCTTTTCACCAAAGTAGCTACCAAATAGCGTGCGAGCTGGTTTTGCTCGGCTTTGCTTGCGCGCCTCATTGTGTTCGAACATGTGCTTACCAATGACGCTCTCATTCGTACAGTCGATCAGTACATTCTTGAAAATTGGAGTCATCTCACCAAAGTACTGTTTAAGGTATTCTGGTGTTCGAATATCACATTCAAGAAAGCCGAATACTTTGTCTGCTTTGATGTCATCGATGATACCATCATACGCTTCAACCGTAGTCAATCGACCGCATGGCATCTCATTACCAAGGGCCCATAGGTATAGAGCGTTAGCGTCGTATCCGATAATTTTCTTGCAGATCTTACCTCCACGAATCTTCGTCTCGTTTCGCTTAGCATACCTGTTGAATATAGTTGATGGTCTTGTTAGCTTTCATTTTCCCGTAAATCTCATATTCCTCCTTGTCAATCGAAAACACCAATCTGTCTGCGTTAAAATCAAGCAGTGTCTTGTATCTGAACCCCCTAAGAGACATATCTTTTCGAGCGGTGTTGCATGAAATGCAGCTGATTAAGATATTCCCATCAGTGTGCCCAAGATTGTTATTGATTCTATCAGCGGAAGCGGTATCAGCAGTCAGCTGACAATAGCATAATCCACACAGATACTTTTGCTTTTGCAGCAATGTATTCACGTGCTCGAGCGTCATACCAAATTTTCGTTTTGCCTTAGCAACCTGACTCTTGTAGCCAGCCATGCGCTTCGCTGGAAATCGGAATGCGTTAGCAGGCTTCTTATCCGGATATTGGAGATTATTGAAGCAGGTCTGATACATAACCTTCTCTGAAAGACCAGGTAGGGGCACTCCATCCGCAAACATATCCAGATCGAAGCGCTTTAAAAAGCTCTCGCTGAGCCTTGATAGCTTTGGTGAAAGGGACTACGTCGAGATTATTGTACCAGATCAGTAGGTCTTTGATCGATTTCATCTCGTGGTAATCCCACACGAACTTCACTCGTTCGTAGTCATCGCTCGTGATGCTCGTTCCACGGAGCTTACTATCAAAAGCTGACTTAGGTGGGATAGTAGTCTGCTTTAGAACATTGAACGCGGTGATGTACTCGTAAGGGAAAAGACCCTTACCAAGACCACAGACACATCTAATTTTGTCATCGCATTTGCAGCCACCGAGATATGTTGTAAGATACTTGTCGTAGCTGGTACCAGCTGGTACATAGTTAGTGATATCAAGCATTTTCATGTCCGATGTAGCAATGCACATGTAGCTGGGGTTCTTGATGACAGATTTGACGTTGTCGGTACCAATTACGGCAAACAAATCTTTCTTAATCAAGTTAATATCATATCGACCAGAATTGAAGCCGAATACTGGTACCTGGTCAAGCTGCTGTTTCAGCTTCCCATAATCAGACCTTTGCTTACCAATAACAAGACTGCGGTGAAAGTCAAAGAAGCTGGCATACTTTCCCTCCTCTTCAATCCAACTCTCCACATCAGACATCTTGTACTTTTTATCAGAATTAGCGCCTGGGACTTCCATACCTGTCAGACCATGTGCATTGATGATTTTTCGTAGAAGCGACATATATTTATTGACATTGTACTGCTGAATCTTAACCGATACATCACCAATGTAATTGAACATTTCGGTAAGTAGCATCTTTGGATCGTTATTTACAAAGCAACGCACCCCCTCGGTTATACTATCAGCTACTGATACCGACACAGGAATGTGTTCGTTCGTGAAGACAGTATTCTTCCCGTGTTGAGTCGCGGTAATCTTAAGAATGGCCTCAAAGTCATAAACGATGAAGTGATCGATGTACTGGTCAGTATTCCTGATTGAATACTTCGTAAGCAGTGATCGTATTACGTTCTGAGCTGGTTTGTAGATAGTTGGCTCAGCTGGGAAGCTTTCGATATTCACGAGCTCACATTGATTCTTTTTGTGATTTTTTACTTTTTCAGCGCTGACGAAAACCACTTCACACTTAGGGCATTGATACTTAGCCTGAAGCATGTCAATGTTCTTGATGTAAAGAGCATGATTCTCGAGCGATAAAATATCCATAGCTTCATACCCTTGTCCGATCTACGAATGCATTCTACATTTCCGGAAGCTACATCCATGCTATATACGCTAATACCGAGTTGGAAGCAGTCCTCAACCTCATCGAGCTGTAGTAGGTCAATAGGCTTGAAACTTCTAAATGGACTCAGCGTATACTTCACCCTCTTGAAAGAGCAGTAGCGCTTGAATACCTCCTTCACCTGAGCCTGAATTCTGCGAGGAT